TGTGCCGTACAAATATTTCATAATCTTCGATGGGAAAACGAGGGTACGTTACTCGATGAAGTTCGTTCGATCGATTCAAAAACAACACGCGCGTTCCGATTTACAAAGGAAATTTATGCGCGCAAGAATACACGCTGTCGAGTTTTATTAATAAATCTTACGTGACAAGCATTGGCACCTGATTATACTCTGGGTAGGTACACGCGACTATGTAAATCAAAACGTAAAGAAGAATTTGAAATCGGTTGAATAGGATAAAATTTCCATGTACGCGCTTGTATCGCTGTTCATTTTCTCGAGTAGTAAGTTCGGCGAATAGATCCGCCGGCGAGATGATAATTACAAAAATAGAAATAACGAGAGCAAATGCCGATCGGTCAGTCCACCGAGACTGAGATTATCGCGAGAAGCCAAGCGCGACAATTTTTCCCCCCTGCGATTATTACGAAATTTGTACGATCGGCCGTGTATTATGATAATGATAGATACGCGTACGTAATATCGGCGGTGCAATAAATCCGCCCCGCTATCGGACAGATAAGCGCTCTCATTAAACGCACGGAAACTCCTATAATAACAGGATAAATCAAGTTCACACGTGGTAAAACATCGATCGTGCAAGAAATCAATCAATGTTTCACGAGTTTGAAACAACTCGATAACGCGTTGATTTTTACCATACGTTTCAAGTTCAGCTCTATCATTACGTTACGGTTACCGTGTCGTTTGATTACCGTGTTTACATTTCCAATCACATCTCACGTATATAAAAAGATACACACTACGAGGTAGGTCGTTTAATTTACAATTCAACCGAACGGACGCGATGCTTCTCGACCAAAACGAATTCCAAAGATTCGCTGCGATGATTCATTCGAACGAGATGTCGCGTGTTGACCCGCTCGATTAAGCTCATTGAAAGCGAGTTCGTAACTCGTGACTACGGCCGACTACGCGAACCTATAAAACTCGAATCAAACAAATTATTGTCGATAATCATTCCCTTGACGCGAACGTTCGCTCCGCTCGTGCCTCGGTCGACAAATTGTCGAGAATCGTCGCGCCTCTTTCGACCGACTCCACCGGCTACTTAGCGACGGCAAACATTGCGGGACAGCTTACGGTATATGTGTACATACAAGTATGTACAACTACACAGCCGAAATCGGTTCTCGAACTCGCGTGATTTATCGCTGCGTTCCGAGCTAGCGAAATCGCATTGACCGTAGAAGCTTCTCCGTCCTTCCACTGAGATCCGATTGAATTTTTCGGTTTCTGTAAACGATGGAAATCTAATTTGCAGAGAAAAGATTGTCGTCGACGCTCGAAACGTATAGTCATTTTTTCCATTGATGATTTCTGTTGAGATACGTATAATTTTCTGTGCTGGACTAGGTTAAATGCGTGGTAGAGATGCTTGTATGTGAATATCAGTGTGTGGAAGTATGTGTGTCCGCAGCGTCTCGAAAACAAAAGAATGTAAACTCTTCAGTCGAAAGAAAGTGCTGAGACGCGTGCAAGTGTGTATCGATGAATATATAAGGAATCGTTCATGAAATAAATATTTCATTATTTTAATATTAATCCTCGGTATAGATTTAGCGTTTCTATAACATTATTTCGGCTTCAAAGATCCACAATTCTCAACAATTTCGAGAATGCGCACGAAAATATGAATTTGCTGGCGTAAAGAGAGTAGGACGTCGCTAACCGAAAAGCGATCGGAACGTTCTATTAACCGTAGTAACTAGGAGAAACTAACGAAATTTCCGGCAATCCGAAGATAATCGAAGTCGTTCGAAGCACGTCGATCGAACACTTCGTTTCGTTCGACGAGATTTGGTCGAAAGAGAAATTTGTATTTACGAACGCCGGCTGCCGTAAATTGCTCGACGGTTTCAGGTTTCGCGTGCACGTTTGTATTATGGCCACGAATTCGGCGCTTCGCTGTAACTCAAACAAATTACGACGGATGTGTGTCAAAGAGTCGAGGACTCGACCGAATAAAATCATAATAGACATATGCGCAACAGTACACCGCGTTCCGAATAACTTACACGACATATCGAACGTTGTGATTATTCTTTGCCGAACAACCACGATTATAGTTGGTTTAACGTTTCGAGAGAAACGAGGGCTGCCCTTATTGTCGTTAATAGATGTTAAACATAGTTCTGTTTTACGTCTAACGAAAGCTTTTAAAAGCTTGCAGCAATCTAACATTCCTACGCTACTGCTTGGAAATTTCAATAGCACATCCTGCGCATAGACTTTTGTAAGGACATTCTTCGTTAATTATCTGGCTTACCCTTCCTTTGGCACAGGGAATCTGGGATTCATTGTCGAGAGCAGGTAGAGAACGCAATAAAAGACGGCGGCGGTAAAGCTGCCACCAGCCAATTTGCCCACAAAAACATACTTAATTGTACGATGGCGTTAGGCCACGTGTACTATTTTGTTTGTGCTCGTGCGACGGAAGTAATCGTCCACCGGTGACTTCTTGATTTTTATATAAACAAGAGACAAAGCGTCTGTGATTAAGCGTCATGCAATCGAGCAACGATTCGAACAATGTTTCTTGCCATTGCGAAAGTGCGAACCTTTAACGTTACTTTTTTAACTGCGAGTAACATTTACGCCAACGAATTTTTTCCCAAGGCCATTGGCCACATGGCCAATTTCACTGGCGGAGCATCGATCTAAATCTACCTTAACGCGCGTTCCGGGAATACCGAATGATTTGTCGCAATCGTTTCGTTGCGCGTATCGAATATTCGCCAATAAGCGTGTCATTTATTATTTTCCATTGCGCAGCATGCGAAATGAAAAGGGTACTTTATGGCAGTGGGAGAGATATATTTAGACCACCGATTATTCACTGCCTTTCCACGTGCATCAACCGTCGGGATAGAAAGGTCTCAACAATCGTAAAACTGGAAAACTGTATTTTAATGGACTCGCACACCTGTCGTAGCTAAACTTGTCTAGCGATTAAAGCTTCAAATATTTCAAATGTTTTTGAAGTCTATCAGTCTATGAAACTCGAATTTACCTTGTGTGCGAATTTTGTATTTTGTATCTGGAGTTGTAAATTTTAAATGTCGAGGAACTTTTGTGCTTGAAAATTGCCAAAATATCAGGCTGGGAACATTGACAAGAGATTGGAACATTGACATTTTATCGATGGTTACTTGGTAACTGTGATAAAGAAGGAAATTTCAAATATTTACAATTGCTTCTAGCAGTTGGACGATATATTTTTAGAATTACCATATTGCTAGAAAAAAACGAACATATGTGTGTCTAGATTAAAATGGCGCACAGTCTCTAAGTTGGATCGTTAGATCACAATAATGTTTGTATTATTTTGTTTAATATTTTTTTGTTATGTAAATTCGATAAAAAAAAGTTAGTCAGTATATTTGTTTAAATACCGTAAGTAGCTTGAATTCTAAGAGTAAAATGTAAAAATAGAAAGCAAGAAATACTTGATTATACGATTCGTTACGAGACCAGTATACATTTCGATGTTTTCGCGCAGTCGATGTAGTGTATCATATATAACTGGACGATTCAGCAAATAAAAGTCTTTCACACAGTATTTTGTCCATACAAAGTCGATTAAATGATAAATTTCAAATCCTCGTGTAAGATAAAACACGTAGATGGAATTGTTTAATATCGTAAGAATGCATTTTGTAACCTACGCGCGGATGAATGTTCAAGAAATTTCTAACAAACGTTAACGACGAATTCGGGATAAAATTTAGGTTTGTAAGCATGGAATATATATATATATATATATATATATATACACACACACACATATATATATATATATATATATATATATTCCATGCTTATATATATATATCTAAACGTGTACATATGTTTGTTCGATGTACAGGTCGCTGTACAGGTTAGTTTTTCACAGCGCAGGTCATTTTATTCATAAATGTTTAGTCTAGATGTATAAAAGTATAACGAACCAAACAACACATAGCCACATTCGATATACAGAATTGTAAACGTCGCAGAACGGGAAACGCCTGCCGTTTCAACGGTTAGCTTTAAAATACGTACATATTATTATGTAAATTTCAGTACAGTTACCGGCTCTGTCAACAATACGTTAAATCGACCATTCTGCTTATACTTTCTCGTATACATATTGCCGTAGTAAATATGTAATTTGGTGTATCGTTTAATTATGTGCGTATGTTTTTATATGAAAGTGCATATGTTCGCGTGGAAAATGAAAAAAAATGTAGCATAGAGATTGGATATAGCTGTAGTTATGCACATGTGCACGTCTACGTATATTACAGCGTCGGGTAGACATCAGCGCATGTCACGCTTCAAAGTTTGAAAAATAAGCAAAAGAGTGTCGTCTCTCGACGCTTTCCGACATAGCCTTTCGTAAAGAATATGTTTCATAAAGTGAACGCCACAAAAATCCGACTACGAACGCTCTCTCCTTTTTGGAAAGAAACAACGCGTACAACATCTGTATAACAGTCTTATAACCAACGGAATCAGAGATGCGACAATCAATGAAACCTCGGAAACTGTTAATCGTGTACCGGCATACACATGTTATGTATGTTCGTTCTTAACCGTATTTTCGACTAGTAATTTTAAGCAATTACACGATACGCTCTATAATACGAGATCCCAATCGACAGTTGATAAAACTAAATAGGAAATGTTTCACAGTAATTAATGTCATCGTACAAATGCAACGAGGTTTATCAACAGACGAAGCATCGTTAATGATAAAAACTAAAATGGCCACAGAATTAGTCAGTCACCGATACGTATTATCAAATGAGATAAAACAATATATTTTAATGAGATTTAAAAATTAGCGACGACGTTGCACGTGAACGGACGACTGCCACCGAAATATCAATGGAATTTTCGGAATTTGAAGGAACCCTATATCCGAGAAACATATATAATGATCGATCGGGAAAAGAAAAATCGAAATGTTTACATACCCTTGCTCGAGATCGATACACGTCGAGCCGTTCCTAGAGGTAGTGTGGCCGTCTGGCCTCGATCAAGAAAAAAAGACGGTTCGAACGGTTGTCGGTAATTTGCTCGATACTTCTAACCACTGGAACGTGGAGTCATTGTCTTTAGGCGACACCGCGTTGCTAGGAGAGCCAGTAGAGGCTGCGTGTAACAACTTTTTTCAACCGGCGCGCACACGTTTACCAAGCGACTGGTACAATGATCGTGTTCACGAAACCACCGTCACTGACAGACTGTTCGGAACTGCTCGGTTCGAGGCTCTCTGGACTGAAGTCGTTTACGACTTCCCTGGGGAAACGTTACTCGGTCTTTCTTCAACGCGACGACCGGTGAACGCGGCGAAACCAGAAGAGGGATAGAGAGAAAGAAAGGGAAAGAACGAAACGGAATCAAATTTGTACGCCAACCAATCGCAGCGCTCCGTTGTTTATCGCGCGAAAACCTTACAAGTTGTGTAGTTTTAAACACTGCCATTCCTCCAGACTTTGTTACACGTGGTAATTCATACGATTCAGACTACATAGTCCAAATGTATATCTTAATCGATGAAACACCACATAATTATTAGGGGATCGTTATTCGTAATTTTATTTCTGATTTACATTCGTCAGATTTCAGTTTACGATGCGTATTATTTGTCCTTGTATGGATGGTCGAATGAATATGTAGTGGTAAATGTTATAGTTCAATCGTAAATACCGAAGCCATTCGGAAGAAACAATTTAAAACTTCGAGTCATTCAATATCATAGTCAAGCAATATAATTGATGTTCAACTTGGAAATATCGTAAATTGTGCACGAAATGAAACGTAACTGACGTTAAAATTATGTACAAATTATGTAAATGCATTTGAATCACATAGTCATAATGCTGTTTGATGCACTGTTAATCTATGATTTTATGTTAGTTTCATGCTCACTGAAATGTGCGTTTATCTATATGCAACTGAACAGGTTGGTATGCACTTACCTTTCGCTCGTTAACATTTAACTCGAGAAGTCGATTATCATTAAGACAATGGTACACGGTGTTTCGATTTAATTTACGAGGTAAGATATTTGCAAGGATTTTCTTCCAATGGGTGAAATTAATGTATAAACAACGCGATAACGTTGTTCTCGAAAAATTTATACAGATGCGCTATTATGTAAGGCGACAGGCGATTATGTATACGTTAGAGTGCAAAAGACATCCAAGTAAAAAGCGTGCGAAAAAGTTTCACGTTGGTACGATTGATAACGAAAATGTAAATATATTCGTCATCGATAAAAACTTACTTAGGTAGTAAGATTTCAATTTTTACGTAAATACTTTTTATCTGGACGATTAAATTTAAATAAAATGTAAATAGAGAAAAAAACGCAACAAAAATATAACTTTCAAACGTAACAGAATAGGAGTTCCGCTAGAGAATAATACGCGACACTTTTTTAATGTTTATTCTATATAACGAGGAGAGTAATAGGGGCAGCGTAAAACAGTGCGGCTCGTTGCAAAAAAATGTACATTACGTTTATTGATGGTAGCTCGCGAAGCTCCTCGTGAATATCGAATGGGTTACAAAGAGGCGCTTGGTTTTAAAGGTTCGAGTAATTTACGATGCAACACGTGGTACGATACACGACCGATTGTGTTGTTTCATTGCTTCCTTTTGTTCCCTCCTTCTTTTCCTTCCTTTTTGCTCACTTGAAACAAGGAAAAAGTCCGCTACGGACCATAGAGAAATTGCTATGATGTTCCTATAATTCCTGTGCTTCGATTTCTCGCGTTTATCCCGTTTATTTTTTCTTCTCTTTTCTGTATTTTTTTTTTTTTATCAATCCTTCCGCGTCTCGATCGAAGAGACGAGAAGGAATGAAAACGGGCTGGTACTTGGTACGAGGGGTGGATACACGAAATATTAATATTCTCGTCCGACTGATACAGGCAAAATGCTACGGCTTGGTAAGGACAGCGACCGTTTATATTATTACTCTGTGTAGTAATATTTATATATATATATATATATAATATATATATACTTCAACGTACAAACTATATTGTACCTTAGTAACCTCTAAACGCAATGGGTACAAGGGTAGTATTTACACAGCCTAGGACCATTAAACCAGGGTCCAGGATTACGCGATACCGTTTCTCAGAGAGATCCTAAGATTTCACAATCGATCGACCTATCTTTTCTTTTTTTTTTTTTTTGTTCCGAATCGAACGTGATAATACGCGATCGTTAACGGCGTGACAAGTATCTTCACGTTTCTATCAACTAGTTATCAACATTTATACATAATACAATCGGGTTGCTCGCACGCACGCACTCTCAGCCCCACTCGTAGGATTGCGTAACGTTCCTTCTCTTTTCGTTCGATCCTTCGATGACCCCATTTGCATGGTCCGTGGATTCGTGTGTATACGCATATCAAACAAATCGGCGCGCGACTCTAGCGCGGTACATACTCGTCAATGAAAATACTTTCTCGATAATGAAACTTTCGTGAAAAAACTCTCAATCGCTCTTTTCCTCTCACTCAGTTATAGCTCGGTAGAAACACTCTGAAGATGTACAGATCTGTACAGATCGTTGAATGGACATTACACAGTAAACGAACGAACCAGTCAAAAGTGAGAATACGATTTCGGTTTGTACTTGAAAATTAGACGAACACATTTTCTAAACGGATAGGTTAACAGGAACGAAAAGCGAAAGTATAGCTTTACTGCTATGTAATAAATAAAAAGACGGGGTTCTTCTTTTTCTTCTTTTTTTTTTTTTTTTGTGTGTGTGTGTTTTTAGTCAAACTCGATAAAAACTTCCTGACGCTGCACATTCCTACCGTGATCGGGGTGCACCGCTGTGTTTCCGGATCTTTTACGCACGAAGAAACAGTTTCGTCGCGCGCATCCTCGCGTCTTCGCAAACACAACGCACGCTTCTACGTAGCCTAACGTTCCGAGAATCTCGGCGTATAGCTACTATTTAAATAAAATACCGGTGAATTGATATACGATCCTGTAGAACGGCGACGCGCGATTCTTTATTATTATCATCGGTGTCTCTTCGTGCGTAAAAGCGCGAAAGGACGTAAGATGACATGGCACGATACCTTAATCATTAAAAGAGAGAGAGAGAAAAAAAAAGAAAAAGTAATAAAGAGAGGGTCTATAGAATCGTATTTAACACCCTTTACGCTTGAAACGTTTTACATTTTCCTACTGTTGTACGTATCCGATGATAGTCACTGTTTCGTTGCTACCAACACAAAACAGATGAAACGAACAAGAGCTCGTAATTCGATATTCTCGCGTACGTTGTATCGCAAACGAACACAAACATTGTGTCCAATACGATTACAGCAACCGTGAGAAATGTAAGACGCGTCGAAGAAAAGGAGCCTAACTCGTCTGTTTCTATACGTATTTACATTTTGGCGCCTGTAAATTGGCGCCCGGAATATGGGATAACTAATTATTATTATTATAACTTGCGAATTATGCATATCGCGTCAACGAGGTTATCGTCGATGATCGGAGTCGGTTCCCGATAGACTGGGCTTCTTCAATTACGAGGCTCGTATTTAACTCTACTACTTCGTATTTATTATAGACACGCCTTGTGCGATTACTTAGTCTACTCGTATTCATTTCACGTATAACGTGAATAGTTTACGTTCTTACACTTCAACGATTCAATATTCTGAATTAGATCAATATATACGAGTGTTATTGTTGCCGGGAGAAACATTGCGCAAAATATTGTTCCGTTCAAAAATAGGCCTTGATATTCTTTTCTTTCGCGTGAAATTTCATTTTTCTGTAGAAACCGCCAATATTGTTAGCGTAGGTTACATCTCTGTTGTAAACATAACCAAGTTGTGGAACAGGTTGCATCGCACTACTTACGTTCTTACAGTGCGCGATACAAGAGAAAATATAATACGCGCGTCTATTTTCGTACGAAGTTTAATACGAGCCTTCTAACGACGCAAAGGAAAAAGATGAAATTGACAAGTCCGCTTCGTTTAAATTGCAACACGTTTCTGGCAAGAGCCGATGCACGGTACCTCGAGGGTCGGCGCACGCCTCATAGTCGTATGCCATTATATTAAAATAAGAATATAAAATTATAAAACTATCAACAAATGTACACATCGATAGAAAACATCTCAAAAATAATAAAACTCCAATAAGAGGAGAAAGGACGCGATCGACCTTCGGGTTTTAATCCGTAATTCTTCCCATCTACTTCTTTGCTTTTCTCTCTACTTCTCCGCAATGTTTGAGCAAAATGGCGTAGACAGTATACGTACATACATGCATGAGTAGATCTCTGCGCTTGCAAATAATTATCGATAGGCCAACAATGATCTATACGTTGCCAATATCTCGCTCGTTGTCATTTGAACCTGTTATGGAAATCGATACAATTTTCCAAGTAATCGAACTTTCAGTTACGACGCTCGATTGAAACTCTGGTCGGTTAACAAATAAAACTAAACGTATATTTAATCGAATGTAAGAATAAGAAAGAAAATAAGTGATTTTAACCCGAAAGTCGATTATTGTCGTAGCGTTGTTGATATACGTAGATTGAGCTTTGATCAAAAAGACCAATTTCACGAAAAGAACGCATTTGTGCATAAAAAGGTAAGAAGAAAAGGAGAGGAAAGTTGGCGTATATTTAAATTTTTGGCGTATACGTTGACCGATATTTATAGTTCGAGGGTAACTTTTCCATATCGGCTAGAGAGATAAAAACTGCAGGGTCAGACGCATCGGCGCTACTTATTTCGACTACTTTCTTGCTTGAATTCTTTGTGCTATTATATTCCTTGTCTTCCTTTTTAAATGTCATCCAAAAAGAGTTGTTCTAAATAGCTTCTTCTTTTTTTTTATATCATATCATTTGTCATAAATGATGTAAAACCCTGAGATGCAAATTTGCGTTAACGTCGTCTTAGTCTTTCTTTTTTATGGAAAAATTGTCTAAGTGATTCGGCTGATTTTCAAAGTGTACCCTCTCAGCACGCAATAAATCATTTTCATTCAAACTTTACAAACTTAAGAATACATATACTACTACTTTGTGTTCATTGTTTTCGTCGAAATCGGAAGAGAGTAAACTTTCAATGGACGTGAGTATAAAAAAAGTACGCTTTCAGAACGTATGTAACACCGTATTCAGGGTTTACTGCGTGCTGTGAAATATAATATAAATACTTTAACGTATAAAAAGAGCGATGTTGTGCGCAACGCAGCTAAATGTAACGAAACCTTTATCGAATTGAAGTCACGACCACTCGGTCATGTCTCCAAATCGATTCACCTAAAAATCGTTGTAAGACACCAACAACGTAGAAACTTCCCCGAACGAAAATTAGATAGTCAGAGCGATAGCGAACTATGTATATATGCCTTTCCAGCAACGATATATTAGAAAAAATGTAGACAGTTAAAACTTTTTACGTTACAATAGTGTGATTACGTTAGCTAACCGTTACTTTATGTAGTAAAAAATTGTCAAGCTACACGAGTCTACGATAAAGTGTATCAAATTCTTTTACTTTTTCTAATAGACATCAGATAATTGTATATACCTGTACCTAGTTCGCGGAACAATCGTCCATTTTTTTTTAATAAAGTGCGATTTCTCAATGAAACTCACTCGTTAAAGTTACATCTTCGTTAAAATAACTTCTTCCATTTTCCTCTTATAAAAAAGCTCACTACCGTTCTGATGTCGTTGATAAATAATGACTGGTACTATTCGTCACTTTAATATTCAGGTAATACAATGTATAAAAGCATAATTTTAGCAAAAACAGCTGAGTCATGTCTGAGCTGTATATACTTGTCCGTGGCAGTCTCAAGTTCGAAGATGTTCAAGATTAATTTTGCATTTTTGCTTCTTCGCTGCGAGTTGAGAATCGTTGATGCTGTACGAATGGTTACGTAAATCTCCTTAACTCTGTAAGCATTCATAATGCTTTCAGCATATCCTTCGACATTCTTCATCGTTTTAAGTAGAATTCTCGGTCGACTACTTTTTATAAAGTAATCGTTTGTCGACATTTCCTGTCTACAGCGGTTCTTTTATATTCTTCCTGTTTCTCCTTCTCTCCTAACGAGCGTTCACACTTGCTACTCACAACGCAGAAAGTAATGCTTCCTCTCATAAGTAATAAGTATCGATAACCAAGCGGTTGGAAATTTCAAAGTGTGACGAACTTTCTTACTCCTTTTAATACATCGACGAGATAAAAAATTTGAATACACACGTTATTCTTTCAAACGAAGGATATAAATTGTTTAGGGACGATGTTCGCTTTAAAAATACGTCGAGTCCTCGCAATATATTCCAACTTCTCCGTAGAGAGATCACCTCCTTTAACAAAGGACAAAAATTTGAAATGCAGTTCGCGACTTCGAGTCGAGAATACCTATGCGTCGGCATGGTAGTAAGGACATGACTGGAAAGTACGATACCAGTCTCTTGTTGTTCGTTATGTAATGCATTTTCTGCGTTCTCTGATATCGCTCACATGTTATACGCTACGTAAATCGGATCGAGCTGGTCCGCTAGGAAACCATCGCGCAAGTGCATTCGTTGCTTCTCGCCACGCGAATTTATTGGAACTACTCCAGGATCTACTACGACTACCACACCGACTACCAGATGGTGTTCTTCTAGTACAGCGCTGGTAACTAACGCCACGAGATCTAAAGCTTCGCTTTCACTTCCGTCGAGTTCCACCACTACTACTAGGAGGTTGGTCCATGTGAATACGGCACTGTGAATCGTACAAATAATTTTTATCACAACCGAAAAGAGAACTATGTTTGAAAATGTGATGTCCATTTTCACATTGTTATTCTGCTTACCATTCTGCTATCTTCTTGTGACACCTCATTACGCTGTTTTCGATATCGATCGGGTGATATCGCATTCCTCTAAGTAAAATGGCTTCGTCGAGGGCGCCAACCACGAACACAGCATCGTGTAACTCAGAATCACCAGGAACCAGATCCGCCTCGGTAGATGTGTCACCGGGAATGTCACTGATAACCGACTGTTGAACGCTTTCGGTACGTCTTAGGAAACCGAGATAACCAGTTCTGGCGTAAACTTCATTCGTGTTTCCTGTTACGAGGCGAGCGTTAAAATGATCCGCGTAATCGCTCTCGTCGCCATATATCGTGAAATAGCCACTGGCATTGTGAGCAGACTGCACCCAAATTTCGCCTAAATGAGAATCTCCGCATTGTCCTTTCGTTTCTGGATTGGCAATGATTACTTTCACTCCTGGTAATAATTTGCCTGACTCCATCAGGCACAAAGAGTGCGGACTACCTCTTTCAACCAGGGATACTCGGTCGTTGCGCAATGCGCGGAGATCAACGTATACCGTAGAAGGTTCTGGGCTCGATGCACCCTGCGTGTCAATCGTATTATTTAACATCGAGTAACAAAAACCTTAGGAAAATGTTAAATAATCTTTGGAAATTTGGAAGCGATCGAACCTGTAAGCAAATAGCGGTGTTTACTCTACATCCGAACGAGGTCGAGACCGCACGGGGACTCAGACCCAAAGCGGAGAAGAGTTTACTGAAGCTCGTAGTAAGTGCGATTCGCGGTCTTTCTTCAGCGACAACGACGCACGTTCTAACACAGGCCAAACTAACGCCTCTCGCTTTCAGAGCATGAACAGAAGAACCGAGACCTTTCGTGCACAATTCCATCACACCGTAAGAACAGAATGTATCTCTTACTCTGGATTGACTAACTGCCGACAGCCACAATGCCGGATTGGCTTCCACCTACGAACAAGAATATTAAAAGCTTCTTTTTCGTTCCCACGTTTACGATATGGAAACGAACCTCCGACGGTGGTATAAGTATGGAATGATGACCGCTGTATATACTGCTTAGACACCAAAGAGCGAATCCTAATCCAGAGTAGGGATCCAAGCATAGAGCGATGTGTCTAGATGGATACAATTCGCAGGCAAGTTTCATGGCACGACAAAGAGACGTCACCGCTGCGTGGGACATTTTAATTCCTGCGAGCATCCCCGTCGTCGAGACGCTGAAGTCCAAATAAGCCAGCATCTCCGCTGTGGGCGCTCGGTACATAACAGGTAGCTTCTTCTTTGGCATGTCGTCCATATCGAGAATCGTCGGCCAACTCTTAATGTCGACGACATTATTCGCTTCCTGTACAATAGCAAGGAAAATAGCCAGATTAATCATTCGTGAGATAGATTTTAACACTTTAACCGCTTTAGTAGAAATCCAAGGATAACTCAGGAAGATATTTGTCGAGCAACGGGGGGTAGAACGTAAAAGTTAATCGTCATGACCCGTTCAAGCTGAGCAGTTAAAGGGTTAAACACAAGATACTGATCGTGTTACGTAGAGTACATTAGAATCATAACGTATCGATGTACCTTTGTTTTCAACAGTTTCAGGATATTTTGATTCGTGAGCACGAGCACAGACTTACTGACGTCCACGATCATGCGAACGGTTGGTAAAGTGGTTTGGAGGTTTTGCGGGTGAGGTGGCCTAATCGTAACTGGCACGGCGCCAACATACAGGCAACCATAAAACGCGCATATCAAGTCAGTACCAGGAGGAAATATTAATGCCACGTGATCTCCGGTATTGATTCTTCCACGATCTAACAACAGATTGCCGATCCGTTCGGCTTTCTTGTGCAACTGAGAGCATGACAAGGAAGTTGCTACGGCTCCTTTTGCATTCAGCGACGTGAAAATAACATGGTCGGAGGTACTGACAGCACGCCATCGAAGTATTTCCGAAATAAATTGATACTGCAAATCAAAAATTATAAGAATGTAAATGGCAAAACGAGGATATAAAGTTAAATAAACGGAGAAATTTTAGTAACAATTATCTTTGAAAAGAAGAAACAATTTCTAACAAAGACGAACCTTTTTAGCATTATCACTATCCTCGTCTAGGACACCCATGTCTCGTCCTTGGGCCGAAGCTAGTCTATTACCCTGAACAATGTTGCCCACCATGACACTGGCCGGACCAACGTCTGCAACAGAATCCCCCGCTACACGCCCCCGCACCATTCCGTTAGTAAACCAACACAAACACTCAACCCAATAATGAGTAGCTCACACACTCTCCCCTGACTGAGGCCGGAAAATCAAAGCTAGGTACGTGAACTGGTTCGTTATTGTCGAAAGGTGATTTACGCGCGTCCTTTATATCGACGTGCTCTGAGCATTCCATGGACTGTACATACTTATCAAACAAAAATCAATTCGGTGTTTCTCGAAAACGTGAACGTCTGGTGAGGTAGCGATGTGAAATTACAGGAAAGCATCGTGTAAAAAAGAAAAAAAAAAAACATGGATGCAACCGAATCGAAGGTAAAAAGGCAGCATTTTCTTTTCCTGCACGCGCGAAAGTTCAGAGTACTTGTATATACAGAGAATATCAAGAGGAATCTCACATCGCTAGAAACAATTCGTCTATAGGCTTGGACTACTACTAGGGTGTTCGGAACTCAGCCAAAAGAAAGAAGGGCAAAAATAATAGAATAACATGCTAAGCATTAAATATTTTTAGTGTTGGGTGGGTTAACAATACATGATATGTAGCAAGAGACAGTTATATACTTTGTACATTTGTGCTAAGTTATTGAAGCCTACTGATAACTTTGTAAGAAAGCGTAAGTGTTACGTTCCTTCACGTTAATGAGAATTTTTGAACAGAGCGATATTGTGACCGCGAATTAATTATAAAAGAACTGCTCATTCATTCTCCCAATTAATCATTCTCGTGTACATTTAAGCGAAACGATCCGACAAATTGGTAAACCTTCTATCAACACAGCATCGTTGTGCGCCGTTAAATGTTCAGCCTATCGAACCTTGTACCAATTTCTTGGGTCTTCGCTTAAATTATAATAGGCAAAGAAAAAACGAAGTAATGTTACAACAAAAAAGAACGTATATACGTCTTTGTACTTGCTGACATTCATGTAATTCATCGAAGGTCCGTAATTTTAATTGACACCTGGTTCGGGGATAGTACTCACAGGTGAATGTGCAATCTCTTACCTGAATGGACTTCGCGTGGTTTGGGTAGATTGGTAACACAAGTGTGCGGACAAAGAAGAACATTAGCCGGGTGCAGAGTACCCTCTAGGAAACGTCGTTTCGTTTCCGACAAATGAATACCGCCCAGCGGTGTTTTCGGAAGGTAATTTGGCGGAACCAACGCCAGACAATATATTCCAACAGCGTGAATGGAATCTACCGCTTGAAGTACCCGGGACATCCATTGGAAACTCTGAGGAAATAAACGTCGTACAGATGTGTATCGTACATGTAGAATTCGCGTCGTGCGAATAACGATTCGAGAGTATCGTTAAAAACGTACTTCCTCTTCGCTGCAGTCGGGTCTCTGTTCTGCAACGACGCATATTCGCTCGTCCCTGAGGACGCGTACGCTGAAAACGGCTATTCTTCCACGATAAATGAACTTCATGGGTTCAACGGCTAACACAGTAGCAATGATATCGTCGGCGTTATGTTTCCTTCCCGTGACCGTCATAAGACCGTCGCGCGAACCGCAAACGAACACAAGACCACCAGGACCCAGAAAACCCAATAGACCAGAACGGGTGTATTCTACGTCACCCAGCGGACTTCCATCGGCTTGAAGCGGGGAGACTTTAAACGTATTATTCGTCAGTCCCTGTAGTCCCCAATATTGGTTCCCAGTTGCCGAACTATGCACGCAGATCTCGCCTACTTCGTCGGTTTTGCAGATGAACGGTTGTCCTTCCATCTTGATCACAACAACGATACCTGAAGAAAAGCAACGTTTCCAATTTCGTTCTCTACGAATCGTTTAAAGTAGAACGGTTTGGCAATGTTGGCATAGAAACATACTTCCGGGCATCACTTGGCCGCAATCTTGAAGAGTCAAGGAAGTGAGAGAATTCTCTTGATCGACTCTGACAACGCCGTAACTCAGGCCAGACATAGAGAGCACGCCTCGTCCAGTGGCGTTTACTCCAGCACGGCCTGGTCTTCTCACCGATACGGTGAGAGCTTCGCTGGAGGACGCGCACGGACACACGGCATCAGGCCGCAGACCTTTAGATTGGAATACCGAAAGGAATTGGTCGCAGGAAGAAAGTGACCAGGGATTGGCACCGTCCGCGACCAACAACAATCTCAGTGACGACAAGGAAATGTCCTTGTGATCTTTCGTGGCAAGAAGACCCCAGTGGAGGTCTCGCGATTTCACCACAGCCACGCTGGCACGATGCTTGGTGATCATCTGCATCCAGCTCGCGGGATTTACTTTCATCAGAGCGTACGGAATAAAGATCACGTGCATCCCGTTTAGAACGCTGGTGAGGGTGCTGTGCCACAGGCCAACCTCTCGTTTGAAGTCTAAAACGCAGACGGCGTTCTCTCCCTCCGTGTAGCCGCAGGCTTGCGTCAGAGCTCGACAATGTGCCAGCATCGCCGATCTCGTCACCGTCACTCCCATCACCGACCCGTCCTTGTCCGTCGTGTACTCAATGTACGCCGGAGTGTCGTCGGTTAATCGCGGCGGTGGCAGCCAATCTTTCGGCGTTTTGCCCAGATGTTCCGTAACGAACCAGTGAAGCTTTGGCCAGCCTTTGAATGCCACTACCTCGCCAGCCGCCGTTTTTGGCAGACCTTTCAGACAAGCTTCGCTGGTTAATGCCACCTAGAAACCATTTTCGATATACTTGGAGAGGAAATTCGGTAGAAATAGCAGAGCAAGATTGTTACTTTGCTCGTTGATTCACCTGAATTCCACAGCTGCCCAAAAGAAAACCAATCTGCTGGGAGCCTGCGTCTCGACGCGTCAAAGGGACTTCGATCGGCACAGGCACAATGCCGGCTTGAAGACAACCGTAAAATGCGCACATGAAGCTAATGGGGTCGTTGTTTGGGTAAACCAGGGCGATTCGATCGCCAGGTTTCAAACAACAATCCCCGCCGCGACTTAGAGCCTTGTTCAACAGCGTGTAGGCTATTTTATGAGAACGACTCAGAAGCTTTCCATAGGTGAGCGTCACGCAAAGCTTGCCGTTTGGATCGAGAACTGTCGCCACTGGCGCCTTATACGATGCCGAGCCATACCTGTGAAATGTACAAAAATGTACGTTTTCTTCAAAACTCTCCATCGCCGAATACTCTATGGCCCAAGAAGAAGCAAAAGAAACAAACACAACAAAATTACAACCCTCGTCCGACCTGCTGCTTACCTTTGTATGGCGGCCTCGA